TCTGTGAGCTGCTGGAGTGAGGGCAGGTGGGAAGCGGCAGAGAAAGCAAGGGCAGCCTCCCGTGCGCCTCCCTTCTGCCTCCTCCAGCGAGCTCCTGCAACTCTGCTCGTGCTAATCACCCTGGGGCCAGATACCAGGCGACTCGGGGCACCTTACGCCCTCCAGCCTGCTGAAATCACTCTAACTAGCCAATCCTCAACCTGCTTCCTCTGTCTCGCCTGCTCCTTCCCATGGAAACCACAGGAAGGGCAGCTGCCGTGTTTTTCTCTGCTCCCTTGGCTTCCTGACTGACCCTGGTGCTTCCCATGTGGCTCTCGTGGCATGACATGCCCTGTCCTCGTGAGGGGCTGTGAGTCATAAACTGTCTTTTATGTCAGTCGTCTCCTGATCTGTTGGCCTTACCATACCTGTTGTTTTGTTGTTTAGTCACTAAGTTGTGTCCATTCTCTGTGAGTCCATGGACTGTAGCCCGCCAGGCTCCTCTGTCCATGGGATTTCCCTGGCAAGAATACTGGAGTGCATTGTCATTTCTTTTTCCAGGGGATCTTCCTGACCCAAGGATCAAATCCACGTCTCCTGCATTGGCAGGCAGATTCTTTACCACCAAGCCACCAGGGAAGCCCCTACCAAACCTGAGTCACATAAAATCTACATTTTCAAACAGGGGCGACATCACCTACCTCATAGGATTGTCAAGAAGACTAAAGTAGAGAAACAAGGTAAGTGGTCTCACAAAGCATCTGGCACATGGCAGGGACTCTAGAAATGTTACTTGCTTTTCTCTCTTCCCATCACTATCTTTACCCTGCTGTCTTCCTGACCCCCACCTCCACCCCCAGCCTTTCTCTCTTCCTCTCTCCCTCCCAGGATGAGCTATATAATTTGTAGGATGTAGTGCAAAGTGAAAATGTGGGCTTCCCTGTTCAAAAGTTATTAAGGATTTCAATATGTGACCACAGAGCATTGAATCAAGTTGTGGGGCCCCTCTCGCCACAGAATCCCACGTCATTACATAGGTCACACACCCATCTGGCCCTGCTCTGCCCCTTCCCTGCCTTCCATCAAGCTCTCAGTTCAGTTCAGTTCAGTCGCTCAGTCGTGTCCAACTCTTTGCGACCCCATGAATCGCAGCACGCCAGGCCTCCCTGTCCATCACCAACTCCCAGAGTTTACTCAAACTCATGCCCATCGAGTTGGTGATGCCATCCAGCCATCTCATCCTCTGTCGTCCCCTTCTCCTCCTGCCCCCAATCCCTCCAAGCATCAGGGTCTTTTCCAATGAGTCAACTCTTCGAATGAGGTGGCCAAAGTATTGGAGTTTCAGCTTCAGCATCAGTCCTTCCAATAAACACCCAGGACTTATCTCTTTCAGGATGGATTGGTTGGATCTCCTGGCAGTCCAAGGGACTCTCAAGAGTCTTCTCCAACACCACAGTTCAAAAGCATCATTTTTTCGGCGCTCAGCTTTCTTCACAGTCCAACTCTCACATCCATACATGACCACTGGAAAAACCATAGCCTTGACCAGACAGACCTTTGTTGGCAAAGTAATGTCTCTACTTTTTAATATGCAATCTAGGTTGGTCATAACGTTCCTTCCAAGGAGTAAGCTTCTTTCAGTTTCATGGCTGCAGTCACCATCTGCAGTGATTTTGGAGCCCCCAAAAGTAAAGTCCATCAAGCTCTACTGCTTCCCAAACCTTCCTAGCCTGATTTTCCAAACTCAAGGCCCTAAGTTTACCCCCTTTTCTGCTATTGTTCTCTGCTAATAGATTCAAGGTTTTAGATACCATAGAGCTAATAATTCCACTTCCTTAGCAGGGAGAGGAAAGGAGGCCAGTCTGAATTAGTGAAAAGTCTGAGAAATAAGACTTATAATTTTCTATATTACTAAAGAAGTTCAGTTTTATGACTTGCAGATTTCTATGGTGACAGAGGTGACATGGAGAGGAGGGGCGAGAGGAGGAAGTTCTACTGTTCTGGACGTGACCGAGCACACAGAAAAGATTTAACTTATAATGAGCACGTTCCTTATTTGCAAATGATGCTACTAAACACCGTGTCCCTTAAGTAGGTTAATATTCCTCTTGCCGGCAATCACTTTGCCTGGTGAAACCTTTCTGCTGCGAGAGACGCTGGTAAGATTCTTCTGCAGTGGTTCTACATAACAGACTGATTTCCCTGACCTTTCAGGCAATCCAGAGCATAGACTGGGCCACAGAAAATTCCTGTCAAGGGGGAACCAGCACAACCAACTCTCTCTACCGCCTACTCTAGAATAGTCACATCTTCAGAGCACTCTTGTAAGATGCCGCGGCACACCAGCTCTGGATGCAGTCTTCGCTGGCTCTGCTGTTTCAGACCCAAATCTTGTCCTGTCACAGTTAGATCCAAACCTATTTGGGGATGGCAGCTCCAAATAGTTCACATATCCTACACCTCAAAGCCTCAGTTACCTGGGCCTGGAATGCCCTGCCCCCAACCGGACACTCCAAAAAATCCTAATTCAGGTTTCAAGCTCCAGCTCAAAGGTTCTGTCCTTCAGAAAGCTGCCTCAGACTCTTTCGGGCAAAATCTGTGTCTCCGTCTGCCCCTGCGGCACATCTATTACAGCATCTGTGCTCCTAACAGTCATCTGTGAGCTTCTTTGATAGAGTGAGAGCACCCGTGGGTCCTGGGTCTTGTCCATCTCTGGGGAGACACTGCGACTCAGCAGTCAAGTAGCAGACGGGGCCCCAGCCCCACCACTAACCAGCTGCATGCAGATGGTAGCGGCAGCTTCACAGCCCCGGGAGGATTAAGTCAGATGATAACTCGAAAGGGCTTAACAGAGCCTGGCAAAAAGCAAGCTCAAAAAAACACATTAACAGTTCTCCATGAACACTGGTGTATAAATACGAGGTCACAGGATGGCCACACAACCCGGTTTGGCTGGATCCCTGTCTATGTCCGAGGTTCTGGTGTTATCATTAATAATGCCCTCTCTCGTTCTCAAAATTATCTCGGCTTGGATGGCAAATTACATGGTCACCCTAGACAATTGGGACCAGGTCTCTTTTATTTACCAATGTCTCCCTGGCACACCAAACAGTGCTTAACACATATTAAGTATTTAATAAAAATGTGTCAAATGAATGAATGTGTCTCTAGGGACTAGGAGGTGCCTGGCACCTGGAAGGAGCGTCATAACTACAACATATGGCTGATACTTCTCAGTCCTTCCAAGCACCCCTTGACTCAGAGAAGGCGTGACTCAAGGCTAGGCAAGGGAATGAATGAATGAGTTCCTCCTGCCTTGTCTCTCTGCTGCCAATAGCAGCTCTGAGGGAAGGAAAGACATCGCACAGAGGTTGAGAGAAGAGTGGGTCAGAGAAGAGTGGGAGAAGGTGAGGCTGATGTTCACCCATGAGACTGTAGGGGCAGGGGGTTGATCCTCCTGGAACTGCAGCAGGGCACCCCCGTCAACATCTCCCAGCTAGAAACTAGGGACCGTTCTTGCCATGGAAGCAGCAAGAAATCACAGCCTACAGTAGCCAGACCAGTAGGTCCAGAGAGCTCTTGAGGGTCTGGGACTCCTGCCACCACTGAACATTCTACACAGGGCACAAGGGTTCAGGGTTCCAGCAGGTGCTGCCCCCTAGCAGCCCACAGAGCCACAGGGGAGAACCCTCTGAAATCTAGGTGCCAGAGCAGACCGGAGAGGATGGGAATGGTTTCTTCTCTTCCGAGCCCGGAAAGGAAATTTCACATGTTGGTAGCCAAAAAATTTTTGGAGACAGACCATGCAATAGGCAGGGTGGTAAGAACTTTAAGAACATTAACTTAGCCTTCGGAACAGCCCTGGGAGGTAGCTACCCCCATTTTACACATAGGGAAAGAGAGTCAGAGGGGAATTGACTTGTCAGAGATCACACAGCTAGTAAGAGACAGAACCCAAATTCCCCAGGAGTAGGAACCAAACAGGAGTACTCTCCTTCCCTCTCAAACCGTTTTGGGGAGGGGGGGAAGCCCAGTTCTTGCTCCTTTAACAGGTTGGCGGTGTGACCTTGAGGTTGGATCACCCTCTCTGGGGCTCACCTCCCATCTTCAAGAAAAACGTTCTAGGATGCTAAGACACACCGGACGGCCGGGACATAGTCTCCTCCTGAGACCACAGGGCTTCAGGATGACCAGGCCCCGGGTGAGTCCAGGTGTGCGGAAACATATTGATCCACTTTGGGGCCTTAGGTGGGGTACCTGCCTTAGGTGGAGTCCTCTTTCTCAAGGACCCTTTGACGCTGGACTGAAAAATCAAGCTGCAGATCTGAGAGCCTGAGAAGAGTGTGGGGCTTCGGAGCCCTTGAGTCACCAGGTGGGGGGACTCCTGGTGCTTCAGGAAGGGCTGCGGGCAGGGTGAGGGGCGCCAGGGAAGAGCAAGGCTGGAGATGCAGAGGGCCCCTGGCAGAGGGTCCTGCGGCGCTTGGGCTCTTAGCGCTCAGAAACCGCCTGTGCGGAGGAGGGCAGCCCCCAGCCCTGGGTCAACGTCCACCGCTCCGCTCCTGTCCCTGGCCTGCAGATATCCGGACCTGGAGGAAGGGGGGACCCCGCAATACTGGGGAGAAGCTAGGCAGAGAAGTCAGAGACAGCTGGGAAGGAAGAAATCGGGGGGTTCTAACGCCTTGGACGACCCTGGCCCCAGTTCCGGGGCTGTTCGGAGCCCCGGAAAGTTTGCGCGCGTCAGGCGGACGGCGCGCCCCCTCCCCGAGCCTGCAGGCGCCGGGTCCGCAGGCGCCCACCCCGGCCAGCCCCGCCCGCGCCGGCTGCCCGCTCAAGGTCACCGCTGACAAGACGCCTGCCTCCGCGGGGCGAGTGGACCCGGGACGCGCTCCGGCTCGGGCTCTGGTCGGGCAGTGGTTCCCGGGGACAAGCGCCCGAGGAAGGGAAGCCAGCCGGGAGGAAGAGAGAGACCGAAGGAGAGGGGAGGAGGCCCAGAGCCCCGGGCCCGGCCGCCCCTGTCTCACCTGCGCCGGCTCCGCAAGCGAGATGCTGCCGCTGCCGCTGCCGCTGGTGCGCGCCCGGCCCGGCCCGGCCCCGCTGCGGCTGCGGCTCCTCTGCCGCCGCTGCCCCGCGCTTGCCTCGCCCCGCCGCCCCGCCGCCGCCCGCCCGTCGGCCTCCCTCCCACCGCCGTCGCCTCTGCCGCCGCTGCACTGCGCTCTGCCCGCCTCCCTCCCTCTCTCCCTCCCCTCCCGCTCCCTCCTCCCCCGCGCGCTCCCCCTCGGCCCTCCCCAAACTCCGCACAGAGAGCGTCCTGCGGGACCCGGAGCTCGCGGTCCAGCCCGCGCCCTCCCCCGCGCGCGCGCTGGGGGGCCCGGGGAGCGGGTGTCCTGCCTCTCCCCGGCTCGATCTTCAGGTACCTCCATCAGCACCAGCTCCTTACCGCCCCCGCCCATCAGCCGGGCCCTTGGAGTAACCCTTTTCCCTGGGTCAGGGTACCCCAATCCCCCATTCCCAACACGCAGGAACCCAAGGCTGGGGTCATGCAGTGTGAGATTACTGAGGTGCGGACGGGGTATACGGGGAGACCTAGCTTTGGGGGAGAGGGCTGGCTGGAGCAATCCTGGGGTGTTGAGCCCGAAGGCACTCAGACTGGGAGACGAGATGGGGGTAGGGCAGGGGCACCTGTTGGCCCCCAGCCTCCAGCCCTGGCTGGGCCTAGGGCCTAGAGGAGGCCGGCACAGAGGAGGAGAAAGGTGGACGCCCCAGGCACACACTGAAGTACTTCCCCAAAGCAGGCTTCCCCTCCTTGGCACAAGCCCCAGGTCGCTGAAAAGCCTAGCTCCACCAGGAAGCTGGGCCACCTGACTCCCAGTGCCTGGGTCTGCTCCATGCCATCAATTAATCATGCCCGCTTGCTTATTTATTTATCGGCTTTATAAAAAGCCAAATGCACTGCTCTGCTCACAGGAAGAGAGAAGAAGAGGGGCCCCGGTGGGGCGGGGGCAGGGAGGGCAGAACCCTGGTAACCACCCACCCGCCCCCAGGCTTTGGTCTGTTGAAACAGGAGCTGGGGCCTGGGGAGACCCTGGGCTCTGGGTGTCTGGAAAGCCTGCTTCCTAGGAATGGCTGGGATCTTGCTACCCTTTGCAGGAGCCAAATGCACAGTGGCCTGTGCTCTGCGGCCCTAGGATGGGGCAGAGGATATTCACTCTCAGGGGCTTAGGCGTAGAGTGAAGAGAGGGGGCCAGCGAGGCCTGAGGGAAAGGAAATCCGGCAGGTGTGAGAGGAGGTGTCTCCAGGCTCTTGGCTCAGAGCGCTCCGTTCTCACTGCTCCAACTTGGCTTGGCAGGCATCACTGCATCTCCTGCTTCAGGCCTGCCCTCTCCCGCGGGTGCCCGGAGGACATCTCCGCACGGACACCCCACCTTCCCCATCCCAATGAACGGCACCGTGGGCCTCCAGGTGACCAGCTCCAGGCTCTCCCATCTCCAAGTCCTCACTGAGGGGGCCTCCACAGTTCCCCCTGGAACCTGTTGAAGGGCCCCAACACCTCTCTTCTGGATTCTCACAGTGCCTCCTGTGACACTAGGTTTCATGACGTCAGACATGGTTCACGGCTGCTCCTGCTCTAAAACCTTCCATAGTTCCCCGGTGCCCTTAGAAGTTCCATAGCTTCAGACTGCCATTCTAGGTTCCCTGCCTTGGCCCCAAGTGCCCTTTCTACTCCGTTCCCACCTTGGTTACCGGCGCCCCTCGTGATGTATATTTAGCCCCATACCACATCTCTCTCTCTTCTTCTTCATGGATGGAAATGCCCTTCTCCCTCTCAATCAATTCCTGTCCAGTCATACTGCCAAGGCTCGGCTTCAGTTACTATTTATGAAAACTTCAGAAACCAGCAGTTAAGTTGAAAGGCAAAACGGAGAGGTGTGAAAAGCTGCAAAAGGTGAGGCAACTCAGTGCAAAAGTAAGGAGCACCACAAAAGTCCTAATGACAAAAGTCATCAGTTGGGTGACCTTGAACATGCCCTCAACCTTTCTGAGCCTGTTAGTTTATTTTTGTGCGTGCTAAGTTGCTCGGTCATGTCTGACTCTTTGTGACCACATGGACTGTAGCCCGCCAGGCTCCTCTGTCCATGGGATTCTCCAGGCAAGAATACTGGAGTGGGTTGCCATTTCCTTCTCCAGAGGATCTTCCCGACCCAGGGATTGAACCCATGTCTCCTGCATTGGCAGGTGGGTTCTTTACCACTAGTGCCACCTGGGAAGTCCTTCCTACCTTTATATTTATTTAAAGGGTGATAATTCCATAGCCTTCTCCATGGTAAACACACACACACCCAAAAAACAGTAGCTGTTGTTATTCTTCACATCTATTGTGTGCTAAGGCCCTGGGATTTACAAAGATGACTTGGTAGGGATTCGAAGGACGGGGAGAGAATTGCCTATGTGCTGGGCTGTGCTTAGTCGCTCAGTCATGTCCGACTCTGCGACCCCATGGACTGTAGCCCGCCAGGCTCCTCTGTCCAGGGAGATTCTCCAGGCAAGAATACTGGCATGGGTAGTATATCCCTTCTCCAGGGCATCTTCCTGATCCAAGAATCAACCCAGGGTCTCCTGCATTGCAGGTGGATTCTTTACCACTTGAGCTAGCAGGGAAACCTGAGAATGCCTATAAGGACCAGCAATACTGAGTGAGGTGGGCTGGTTAGGACTTACAGCTCTCTCCTTTGGAATCTCCCAATTAGAAAAAGCAACAGTCTCTGTGCCGTGACAAATAAGAACTGACACTGGCTCTACTGGGGGAGGTAACAAGGAATGGTGGGGACTGTGGCAATCTGCCCAGTCAAATGGATATAGCCACCACTCAGCTCCACCTGACCGTGGCCAAGCCAGGATGGGAGTCTAAACTGCCGGTTTTCTATTTTTTTTTTTTTTTCTTTCAAGAGAAGCTGGACATCTGGATTTTTAGGATCATATTCTTTATCTGTAAATGTCATCAAAGTTTTTTTAAAAATTTAAAACCCTGTGAGGAGCAAACACAATATAGCTGTGGTAGGTTTTTTGGCCAGCAGGCTGGTAGCTTATGACCTCTGTATTAGCAGGAGAAAGATCAATGTTATCTATTTACACAGAGGCACACACAGGCCCCTTCTCTCTCCCCCAGAATATGTTCATGTCCACCTAAGAGGCACACAGGGTCATGGGAGTGGAGAGGACAGGATGGGGAGGGGGTTCGGGGGGCACATGGGATCCTAGACAACCCCCCCTCTGCTCGCTGAGCCTCAGTTTCCTCATCTGAGAATGGGGGGGGGGAGGACTTGCTTGGCTGTGGCAAAGTTTACGTGAGGTGACAAGCATGTGACAAGTGAGGACACAGGGTTCCAGTGACAACACAGAAGAGCATCTGGTAGCGAGCGAGCTTTGGCAATCTGGATGCCCAGAAGTCCCACTCCACTAAAAATAGGGCCCTTCCTGCAACTTAAAGACTTCTTGAGTGATGGGACCGACAGCAAAATAAGGTGGGAAACGACCACTTCCCTCTCTCTACTGGACCGGGAAGAAGAGTCAAAGAGACTGGGAGTTGACCGACACTTGGGCACATCACCTCTGAGTTCGCAACAAGAAGAGAAAGAAGCATGGGTCCCCCGGGGGTCTGTTGTGAGGCAGGGGCCAGAAGTAGCCGAGAGCAAAAGTGACGAAAGACTGCATGATCCTGGGACCACGTGCAAGTCCCCCAAAAGTGAGTTTGCTGGGAGGAGAGTAAAGCCGACTTTTATTTCCCAGGCCCCCACAATGACTGCATCTTACTATTTTTAGTCTCAGTAGAAGTCATTCAGTGTACACACACACACCAAATGATAGTCCAGGGGGGAGCGGAATAAATCGATGAGCAAGGTCTTCGACAGACAGAAGCCACCTTTCAAAAACTGCCTCCTCTTGGACAGATTTTTATCTCATCTACCTGGAGAATTTGCTTCCGGAATCTCTAAGGAGATTGCTGGACTGACTCAGGTCAGGGTCAGAATCTCCAAGGAGAGAAGGCTGAAGACCTCCTGCCCCACCCCCATCCTGTCCTTTAGAAGCTCCAGCAGCAACTCTGGGCTAAGCAAACTGTTTATTGAGCAGGGGAGAGGAAATGGCAAGCCAGTTCCCTCCCATTCAGGGTCTCTAAATGCAGCTGGGAAAACCCAACTCCCCAAATACAGGGCAGGTTGATGGATAACACTTGAAGCATCAAGTGCCACCAAGGGGAGTTTCTCTGGGGAAGATCGGGAGGGCAGAGAAAACATTCTGTGTATCCCCTGTATGTTTCAGGCTCTGCCAGAATCTTTTACACTAACCATCTCCCATGTTTTATTTGTGCCGTTTTAAAACCTAAATGAGACGGAAAAACACCCCGTGCTGAGGCAGCCGGGGAAGAGATGATTAATTCTCAAGACAGCCAGTGAGGAAGACTTCGGAGGTGGAATTTTACCGGGTTTTGAAGCAAGAAGACCAATGACAGAAACAGTTGCTGAACTCTAAAAGTGTCGATTAGTCTTCTTAGAATTTTGAATAGCCTGGTTTCATCCTCCCAACGAGCCTAGCAGGCAGGTATTTGTTAGCAGGTGCTGCTGGCGTGCCACCCTGCCCTCCACCTTGCGGGTACACCCAGCCTCTGGCTCTCTGGGGGCTGGCTTCTCACACCTGCACCCTTCTCCAGAGGATATGGTCCTTGGCCGATGGGAACCACTAGGTAGCAACAGCCTACCTATATGGTGCAAGTCACCCCCCAGGGCTCCCCAAGGGCTGAGGCTGAGGGTGCACTTGTCCTGAACCCTGAACCCACGTTTGCCAATTGCCTTTCCCTTCCCTGTCCTGCCCTCATCCTTCCCCGGCAGGTTATTCCGGGGGGCACTCCCTCCCTCAGTAAATTCCATGCACGAGCATGCCCATCCCAGGCTCTGCTTCTGAGGAACCAGACCTCAGACCCTTTTCTTATTCCCATTTTGCAGTTGAGGAAGTGAAGGCACTGATCTCGAAGAAGGAAGAGTCAGATCATGGGCCTCTTCTCCATCTGCAGAAGGATTTTTCTAAGGGGACAAGGGAGCATGTCAAGGGGTCATGTCAGAGAGACAGACGAGAGAGACGGGTCTGAGGTAGATGGAGTGTGGGTGCGTCAAGTGAGAATGGGCAGAGAGGAAGGAAGGATGATGGCTATGCAGTCATTGGCCCCACCTGAGCACTCATCCATCTGTTTATCTGATGTGTGTGCTGGGTCCTTGGGGCAGGATTCAGAGATGAATATGTAAGAATCCTTTTCCTCAAGAGGGGCTGGTGGGATGGGAGGGGATCAAGGAAGCGAGATAGACTCAAACCCAAATGCTCAGCAAAGCAAAATCAGACAATGGGAGCTGGTTCCACAGTAAGAGAAGGGAGGCACAGAGTGAGACAGAAAGAGGAAAGGTGG